GATCTCATCTGTGAGGCTCATCTCAGTGTTCGAAAAATTAGCCGTTCATCCCTTCGATAATTTTCACTAGCCGTTCATCCGTGCAACCTAATCCCTTCGAAAATTTTAATTAGCCGTTCATCCGTTCAACGTCATCCATTCGAAAATTTTAATTAGCCATTCATCCGTTCGAAAATTTTCACTAGCCATTCATCTGTTTGACCTCATCCATTCGAAAATTTTAATTAGCCGTTCATCCGTTCACAGCATCCGTTTCAAACGGCTTTTCAAGCTGTCTGTCACCCGTTCACTTGCAGTTCTGTTCACTGTTTGAATGGCTACCGTTAGGAAACTTTTTGCATGAGAGGTCACAAATGATTATTTTTTTTTATTAGTGACAATCATTTTAAATAGAAGTAGAAAATGTGGAATCAAAACCAAATTTAACTTCTTCGAACAATATTGTTACAATGTTAACTAGACCGGTACTGAGAGTAAAAAAACTTGCAGTAAGGGAATGTTGTCTTGATGTAATGCCAAATCCCAAGTAAAAAAATACACTCTTGTACAAGGAAAGTTCTAGCAATTAGTGAAGAGAATTGATCTACAGATATTGGTAGTGAAGACTACATTTGATCCTTGTTAAAAGAGTGTTATAAACAATTGAGGCAGTGAGTGGTTGCCTTGGTGCAAGTTAAACAGGTATCACCTGCAAATTAAACCTGCATCACCAGTTATCTGTTACAAAAACAGTAAAAATTAAACAATACACTGTATGTTATGTGTTTGGTATAGTTTCGAAACTGACAATCAAGCTCATTTATCAGTGTGATAAATTGACTTATAAACATGTGTGTTTCAGTTTACATTGCTATTTATGTAGCTGAGGGGATTCCCCTGTTTGTTATATTTTTGATCCATAGACTAGGTAGTTGGAAAAATGTTTAAAAACCCAAACAGCCAGAGCAACCGCTTTGTTTGATTTTCATTGCTCTACCACATAATCTTTTTGCACAAGAATGAAACACAATTGTCCATGATGAATGAATGTTAATCTACAATTCAGGTAGATGATAATTTAGCAGGCTGTATTTATGATTGAAATTAATCCAGCTCCTTGTGCTATAGGTTCATATGAAGTTCACTTTTATGATGGATTCAAGAAGGTGGTCCACAGAGTAAATATCAAACCAGATAATAGGGTGAGTACTGTTCATATTAATTTAATTAATAACTAGATGTCAGTTTGTTTAGGGCCTAAAAGTTTTGGAAAAGCGATGGCCAAGTGGATTGTGGACCAGAGTTTGTTAGGAAGAGGTCTTGGTTCAAGCCCTGATGGGGTGGTTCTTGTTGCATTCTTGGCAAGACACTTTGCTCCATAGTGTCTGTTTCCACTCAGGAGCATTAACTGGTAACAGCTAAGTGGTAGGGCAACCCAACAAATAGAGGGGGTGAGGGTGTGCAGGGCTCGAAATTAACAGTAAACCTTTAACCAATGGTTAGTAATTGTCTACTAAAAATGTGTCCAACTAACCCAAAATGGTTAGTTAAATTTTCAAACATATTTAAACATTGGTGGACTTCGGGACAAAGAGCGCATAGACCTGAATCTCAGAGGAATACTTAGAATACTCAAGTTGTTAAATCAACTTAAACTATTTTTAGAGAATGTGCTGTTGATGATAATGTTCTTGACTAATCATGGTAAACGAGAGGGAAATAAAATAAGTGCACAATTGTCAACATTTTTAAGGTCACTGTGCAATTTCAGCTACTCTTTAAATTTGTCCTACGGTAGTCATTATTATCAAAATGTTGAATATTTGAGATATCGTAACTTGTGAGCTTGGATACCAAACTTTGTAATTTGGTTTGTAGAAAAGATGTCCACTAACCCGAAGGGCTAGTACTCCAAAAATTAAACTTGAGCCCTGGTGTGTATGGTGTGGGGGGTTATTTGTGAATGTGTCATCCAGGGAAAGTAGCAAAACTCCAAGTTGCTTCATGTTTGAGGAACAGGGATAAGATTGCATTCTGTGGAACACGACAGTTTTACTACTTTGCTTGGATCTTGATTGAAGTACTGACAGCATGACTTTTTTTTCACATTACTTTGTGATAGATCTGTGATTTTTCCCTTCTTTACAGAAGATAAATATGAGTTCCAATGACAAGCAAGAGCATGAAAGGGAAATTCAAGAAAGAAGAGAGAGACGGCAGCAAATGGCATCTGCTAGAGCTGAAAGAGCTCGTAAGAGGAGCTCAGAGACAAGCCCTACAACAGTCATTCCAATGAAGAGAAAGGATTACAGGGGAAGAAAAGGAAAAATGATGCACGAGTAAGAATTTTTTTTTGTTTTTTTTTGTTTTTTTTGTTCTTTTTCTTGTTCTTTTTCTTGTTCTTTTTCTTGTTCTTTTTCTTGTTCTTTTTCTTGTTGTTGCTGTGGGAGAAGTTTCCATTCTTTGTTTTCTGCAGCACTTTCTACGATGACCATTAACTCTCTTCTGTGGAACATTGATATTTTCAGGAAAGACGACTTTGGGACAGCAAGCGAGTCCAGTGTGTCAAGTCCAGCTGAGATGCTTGAAGTTGATGAGCAAACAGTGGATTCTCAAAAACAGTAAGTGTCAAGTTCATTTTTGTGTACTAGTCTAAAAACATTCTAAAATTTGTAGTCAAAACATAAAAACAAAAAACAAAAACAAAACTTTTAAGGAGATCCTTTTATGGCACTTGGCCAAAAGAGTTGTCAAGAGTTTCTGGTAGAACCTTAACTCATTCATCATGGCATCCCACTGCTAAATATTCATTGCTGTTTTTTCTTCAAATTTAATTTGAGGGACAAGAAAAATAAAGAAATTGAAGCTGATGTGGAATCATTCATCAAAAATGAAGAGCTTTCAGATAGTAAAGAAAAACATGTTACTGTACAACAAGTGACAGAAAAAGAGGATTCGTTGGAGAGTAATTTTAACCAATTAATGAAGCATAGAACACATGCAGAGAAAATACCAGATCAGAAAACATCCACAGGGGGTGGAAGAAGGAAGAAAAGATTCATGGAGAAAAGAACTGTGCACAAAATAAGTGATGAACTAAAAAAGAAACAGGAAGAGAAACAGAAGTCCAGTAATGAAACTGGAAATGACAACAGGAAGGTTTTCCTGGCTCTCAAGGAACATTCTCCCATATCGACAGCATCATTACACTTATCAAACACACAGGACACCTCAGAGAGTGAAAACAAAGGAGCTCCTGCTCTCGATCCTTTGGCAAGTGATCCTCAAGATTATCATAAACCAAAGGATAAACAAGAGGATAGTTACAGGGATGATATTAGAGACAGTTTGAGTTTTAAAGATGAAAATATAGAAGGACAGTGGGTGGACTACGAGTCAAAAAATACGGACAAGAATGCTTCAGAAAACACTTCAAATATAGACGATGAGAGTGTTGAACTTGAGCCTCAAAGTGATCTCCCCCCAGATGAAGAAAATGAATATAGTTATAGTAGAAATATTCAAGACTCCAACGTTGAGGTGCCCTTAGAGAAAAATGATTCTTCGCCTATATTTGGAACTCTGTCAAAAACAGAGACAAGTGCTTCAATAGTGACTTCTAAACCAAGCAATCCAACTTCTAAACTAAAAACTTCAAAAGGTCCCAAAATTAAAAGAACACTTTCACGAGCTGAACGCCTGTCAAGAACGCGCAAGGCTAAAAGTGGCATGTCATTGAAAACAAGTTTATCTTCAAAAGTTAGTCCTTCAACCAAACAACAATTTACCCCAAGGGCTACCTCACCCCCCAAAGTAGATGCCCAGGGGGCTAATTTGCCCTCAAAGGGGGCTCCCCCAAAAACAAGCACTAAAACTACTGCTAAAAGTGAGAAAACTGTACAACGAAGAAGGAGTTTTAAGGGAAGTAGATCATCTTCAATAAGTCCTAGAGGATATGGATACTCAATGGCATTTATGGATATTGATAAACCTTTACTTCCTGATGTAAAACCAGAGGAGAAGAAAGAGGTTCCTTCAACAGAAAATGAATTAACTATTGTGACAATACCTACAGAAAGTGTAGCATGTACTCCAACCACTCCAACAAGCCCAACAGGGTTGACTGCAGCAACTGAAAATCAAGCTGCTCCCAAAAAACAGACATACCAGGCCAAGAAATTTCGGTTGGACCAGATCACTGGAAAGCTGTCAGCGCAACGGCAGAGTGAAGCCCAAGCTGCAGCTCATTCACCTTCTGCTTTTCAACTTACAAAACATCACTCACCACCACCTCCCTCTGCACTGAGCCCATCACCTCCTCCCAATCCACCACCCTACCCTCGAGAGGCATATCCACCTCCTCCTCCTCCTGGACCCCCTCCCCTTATTTATTCACCGATGCCAGGGTCATGTTGCCCCACTCCTCACCATCAGCACCTGTATGGACCACACCCAGGCCATGGGATGCACCTTCCCCCTGGTCACATGCATCCTCACCCTGAGTATCCTCCTCCATCGTCAGGGTACATGCTGTATGCGCATGGAATGCACTATCCTCCGCATGGACATTGCATTGGTCAGTGTAAGTAGTCATTTGATAACTATCACTTGCTGAGGGTCCAGTTGCTTGATTGGCCAAAAAAGTGCTCTACCAAGCATTACACCCAAAGTTAAAAAAAAAACATGACTGGTATTTTAATTGTAAGTTCTTGTTTAAATGTTCATCATCACCTGATCATGTTTGAGTTGAGTAACTTTGGGAAGGCTGGATTGAGAGAGAAAAAGATATCCAAGCCGATTTTTTTTTTGTAGCACAAGATCTTTGACATTCTGCTTACTAAAATAGCTGTTGTTGAAATGGCAAAGAAATGGCCCCACTTCCTCTCTTGAATCAGCTTTCCAACTTAACTTGACTGAAACACTATCTGTTAATTGCACTTTTTGAAAAGATGGAGTTTTTTATGAAATTTTGATTTAATAATTGGAGGAAGGCTTTTTGTCCAGAAGTAACACCAGAATCAACAGAGAACAAGAAGAATTTTTTTTCATTGTTGTAATATGTTAATGCAGCAGTTTTTTTCACTCCACAGGTTCTTGTCCTGCTGGTGTGCGACAACCTGTGTACCCTCCACTCCCTCGTGGGACACCTCCTCCGCCTCCTCCCACCCACGAGAGTGCACTAGCACAGCTGATGCAATGTGAACAGAGGATTCTTCGTGGTGGACCAGGAATACCTCATTTTAGAGAACAAGCCCCTCCTGGAGCATGGGTAGGTCTTAGACATGGGCCCCCAACATCGCAGACCTTCTTACCAGTGAGCCATCACCATGAAGACCTTTGGCATGCACATGATGGTAAGTACTTTTGGTGCTTTTGATTGTGAGCAACAGCTGACAGCTCTGGAGTTAGGCTCACCCACTTGTGTACTGGGAAGACAAACAATTCTACTGTTTGATTATGCAATGGAAGCCTTGCATCTCTTTTTGCACTAAAAGAGCTTACAGAATAGTCAGATATGTAGCCTGTTTCCCATTTTTCTCGTATATCAAAGAATCATCTTTAATTTTTTTTTTTCTTTCTTTCTTTTTTTTTTATCTTAGATCGTGGTCTTCAAATTCCCCCAAGTTCTCAAGCTCCTCCTATTCCAGCCAGTATAAGTCCTACCTCAGAGAGCTCTAAACATCAAAACAGACGCTCCCGCAAAAGTGAAAGGCCCCTTCCAACCAAATCATTGCCAGCATCATCACCTTCAAGTGTAGAAGCTCCATATGTGCCATCAGCTGAAAATGCTTCCAGTGCTGAGCAGAGTGCTGTTCAAAGGGGTGGCGAGGGTGGGGAAAGTATTGCCTCAAAACCTACCATTTTAGAAGCTCATTCCAGAGAGGTGTCCAAAGATGGAACAGAGACAGAGAAAAGTGATAAAACTTCAGTACCAACAAGTCAGTTAACACCTATGTCAAATCAGAAAGTACCCACCACAGCAACACCAACTAGTGCCACTGCTACGTCTGTGTTTCAGACAGCTGGAATATCAGGGGAGCCTCAGTCTCGGGATTTGAGCCCAGATGGTTTACAAGGTCTCCTTCCTGGCAGGGTAAGATATTTGTGCCATGAGGCAGTGTTTTTTATGAAAGTCATTGTCAATGTCCCTTCAGATGCCTTTTGGTCAAAGAACAACCTAGATGCTTATCCTAAGAAAAAAAATTAACCTACTATGATAAAGAATACTTCCAAAATGTACTCATCTGTAAAGATGAAGGAGATTTTTTTTTTCTAGGAAGATGTGCAATTTCAATTTAAAGTTACTTCATGAGATTGGGGCACTAGGTATACAATTATGCAGGGGTAGTGGACAGACCATTTTCTTTTAATTATTTTTCAACTTTGTCAATTGTGATAAACCAAGCAAAGAAACAAATAAATAGGTCTTCACTTGAAAAGAAATCTTCCAGTTGGTACACCACAGTATAAAGAAATGGCTTGTCTTTTTTATGTATTTGTTATTTGTTTTTCTGCTCAAATTTGTTTAATGTAGATGATGTTGATGAAGAAAACTAATGGCAGAATACTTTTTATTGCAGATGCGCAAGTCTAAAGATCTGGGTGAGTCATTTAAAGTTTTGCATCAAATTTTTGTAGTTTGCATTTTTGTTGGGCCTTTTTATTTGATTGAAATCTTGCATTTAATTTCAGCTCCTAAGGAATTGATCATTGAGATGGACCACAACAAATACAAGTGTCAAATACCTGGATGTGACAAGTCATTTCGTAAAGAAAGTGGCTTGGAATATCACATCAAGTACTACCATAATCAAAAGGACAAAGCTGGAATGAAAAGAAAAAAACCAGGTGTGGATTTGCCAAGTTTTCACCCCTTCTAAATATTGAAAAAAAAAATTTAAAAAAGGCTAAGTCTGCCTGTGACCCAAGTGGCTTATCCAGGTGGACCCCATCCCAGTCTCTTTAGCATTAAGGGAAGAGAAGTATTTTTACCCCCTCCCCCCCTGGGTGAGTTGCTAACCATTGCAGATTCCCCCCTTCCCTGATGTCTCGTCTCGTTTCCCTGAGAATTTGCAGGGTTACCATTTCTACTTCAGTGGGAAAGAGGCACTGTGAGAGCAAAGTGTCTTGCCTAAGAACACAACACAATGACCTGTGTAAGTCTCAGATCCAGACCTTTCCACCTGGTATGCTAATTGTTTAAGGCCAGCACCTGTCTCACCATGATTGGTTCGGTTATTGTTGTATTGGTTATTATTATGTTGGACGACTATTGTCAGCAGTCAGCTTTAATGATGGCTGTTTTAACAAAATCTTGTTTAGTTTTGTTTTTCTGTTTCTCTTTCTTTTCTTTTTTTTTAACTGGTTATTTTCACGTTCTTGTAAGCAGGGAGTTCTGTTTACATGAACACAATCTAGTGTTGCTTGTCATTGCATCATGGTGGCCTGTTTCATTATATTTTTTTATTATTATTATCGGTTAGTCGCCGTCAGGTCTGACTCAACCCCTGACACTTCCCCAGAGTTTGGCAGTCAGCATCGCCTACACAAGCGTCGCATACACCGGTCATCAGCCCCAGCCACACTTTCTTCAGCCAGCCCTCAGATAACCAGTCCAAGCAGTGTGGTCCCTCCGGCAACTATAAAACCAGAACCGCTGGAGCAGGAGTCATCAGATGTGGTTATGTCCACCAGTATGGACTCTGAACCTTGTGTCAGTCAGGAGCTAGACCTGGAGATTGAGGGGGGTGGTGGGGATACTGAGAATATTGACCCAGGGACGATGGAGTGCATGGATGTGGAAGAAGAGGAGGATATTAATGGAGATGTGATCAGGTGTTCGTGTAATGAGTCAGAGGAAGGAGGTTTTATGATACAGGTGATCTTTTTGTTCAATCCCACTCTGGTGTTGTGAAGCAAGCTCTCAAGGTTGGGGAAGGTGCACTTCCCCCCCTCCTTCCCTTTCTCAGCTAAATGGCCGAGCAGGCTTTTTTTAAGTCCATGGAGTTAAGTTCTCCCTTCTTTTCAAATCTCCATTGGCAAGACAGACCACTTTTCCTCTCTCCTGCACCTTTAGCATTCAGACATCCTAAATCGCGTATTTTTTTTTTTTTTTTAATTTTACCCTATCCTCCGCGGATGAACAGGCTTTCCTTTCCCCTTAACGTAGACATCTTCTTTTGTTTTAATTTTTCCATCTTATGTCGTTGTCATTGTAGTGTGAGCAGTGTCTAACATGGCAGCACAGTGAGTGTGTGGGCCTCAGTGAACAAACTGTTCCGCCAAATTACGTCTGTTATGTGTGCGCAAAACCAAGAGGTAAAACTTGTCGTTACAAATTATCTATAAGAAAAAGGGTTACACTCGTTGACTTCATACAGCTGCCAGTTGTTTTGTATTAATTATTTATTCCTTTTGTTTTCGTGGCTTTCTTTCAGGGTTAAGGAAAAGCGCAAAATACAAGGTACCACTTCATCTTTTCTCTTCAGTGCTTGTTTCTCCTACGACGTATGCATGTAAATGGCAACAACTCTGATGTTGTGATCTGTGTGGCAAACGCCGCCGAAGACTTTCTCTTTTGTTTTGTTTTGTTTTGTTTTGTTGTTTTTTTTTTTTTTTTGGGTGTGAAATGAATTAGAGCGTTGCTTCTCCGTTAAATGGTATGCCCCCACAAGCCTACCACAAGAGGCTTCCTTTCTCTCTCTCCCTCGCCCCTACCTTCCCTTCCTCTTGCAGTATTTCATCAAGGTCTCCCTGAGGGTTTGCCGGTGCCCATTCTTTTCTCCAGGGTGGAGAGAGACACTGAGAGGTTAGTGTCTCGCCCAAGACCTGGTCAGGGGCTCGAACCCAGACCCACCGCGTCTTCACGTTGACGTCAGTAACCCTTGCTTTTACTTCTGTTGCAGAACGATTATGATTGGTTCAGACGAGGTACCCTGGCATGCATGCCTTTTTCATTAAACCCAGAACCTGAATACTCAGCAGAGTTGAACCTGGCCACTCACGGCCTGATGAGTGACATGCATGATGTGAACCGCTCCTTACGCAGTTTGAAGCTCAAATTTGAGCTTCTCAGGTAAATACAGTTCGCCTCAGTAAAATGTAGCCAGCAGAGCAAGGGTAATTTTGGGGAGCTAGTGCACAGCATTTTCTTAGCGAAAATTATGGGCGTCGTCTTTGATTTTAATGGAAGCGGAAAGCTGGGGAGAGAAAGAAATTTGTACCAATGGGGTGAGCGATACTGAAAAAATATGGAAGAGGTGAGGGTGGTGAAGTGAAAATTTGACCATCCCCGCCCCCTCCCCCTACCGTCGACTTTAGCGCCAAATTGAACATGGCCGCTCACATAAACGATCGCGCGCTTCTAAACGTTTAGTCGTCTCATTAAGACGTCTGCGCTGCAGGCTACTGTAGATTGAAATATCCTTCAAAAAAAAAAAAACTAAAACAGAACTTAACACCAAAAGCCTTCCCTTCTCATTATCTCACCTCTTAAATATTAAATAAATTAAGGCCTCCACCTATTCGCGTCTTTTGAATCTTCAGAGCAGTTTTCAGGTGGGTTTCGAAAGTACTGTAAGATTGCAATGGATTTGATTTACTTCACTCAGCCTGACTTTCTGACTGTGTACAATCCCGATAAGGTAATGCAAAGTGTTTTCTCCTCTGATTTCTTAACTTTGTGTTTGTGTTTTATTTTCCTTTCTAGGAAACCGTCTCATCCTGATCTGAAATGCTGGAAAAAACCGCAGAGGGGTTCAACAACAAACGTTGACCAAACAGAATCGACAGAAAAAACTGTCAAGGATAGCTGCCTTAAAAACCTTAGCGAGCAAGGACCAAAAACTGCTTACACCGAAAGTAAAAGCAGTCCTGTCGTAAATGGTCACACAGAGCGTGGGGCTCTTTCTGAGAACGGGCTGCCAAAAGTGAAGGAAGAACGTCCCTCTACCCCACCCCTTCCTGAAGAAGGCCCTGGTGACACCAATAACAATATACAAGATAAAAGCGCGCCTGTGTTGAGCGCAGGGTCAGTTTTAATGTCGACAGTTTCCAGTTCGTCAGGAACAGGGGAAGGGTCGGTGAGCGCAAGTATTGAATCGCGCCCTGATAAAAGCGAAGGACAATCCGATGTGATGAAGAAAGAGGAAGACCCACAGTCTCCCATCCCAGCTTTAGTTCCTGCCGGTGGACAGACAGTGTTTATGAAAAGCGCGTCGTCTGAGCTGGGGAAACCTGAAGAGAAATCTGCCAGTAAATCTGAAATTGTTCAATCTGCGGTTAAGCCCGGAAATGGCACAGAAGGGACTGAGAAATCAGTAGAATTGAAACCTTCAGGAGGGTCATCTAGGGGAGATCACTCAGAGGTGAAGACATCCCCCGGAGAGACAAACCCCCAAATGGGATCCGAAGCTCAGGTTAAACAGGAGAATGAGTCAAGAAATCCAGCCAGTGGAGGGGGGACTCGAGCGAGTGAGATCAAAACAGAAAATCAGGAATCTGGACAGAGTCTGTCAGATGATGAGAGCGTGGGAGCCATGAATAACCTGCTGGATGATATCACGCAGATACAGGATGGTCTGGAAGGACGTATGGATCAGATTGAACAACAGTTAGCAGGTGAGTCTTGGAAATTATTTCCGATTTATTGAACGTTCTCGAATCTTTTCAAAAAGCTCACTGATACCGAATTGCGCGTAACCACGTGTGCACAATCTCGCGGAATAATAGGGACTTTAAGCAAACCACGACGGCTACGGCAACGAGAACGTAGAAAAACAATAGATCTAATTGGTAGAACGATAGCCCAGCACGTGCGTTTTAAAACTTTGTACATTTCTTAGCCGTCCTTTGCAAAACAACAACGTGAAATCACCAAAATTTGCGTCGTCTGCGAAGCGAAACAGCGGCGGCAAATTATTTTCATTTACATTTGGAACTCAACGCTACTTTTATGCGTTATGTTGAGTTTGAGGCCTGGCGCTCCATGAGACGGTAAACACATGCAGCCATTTTCGAAATTCTAACTTAAGTAAAAACTCATTTTTTAATCGACGTTTTCTGTGGTGTTGCCGTCCTGACTGCTTAAAAGGGAGCTTTGGCAACGACGACGGCGACGGCAACGACGACGGCGACGGCAACGACGACGGC